GGTGGGGCGGGGGTCTGGGGCGTGGGGGCGGCCGTCGGGAGCTGCGGCCCCGGGCCAGGCGGGCTTCTGGAGGAACCGAGAGGAATGGCCGTCTCGTCCAGAGAAGCCCAGGACCTTCTCCGAGGAGGAGGGCAAGTTCACCGTCAAGTTCTTCACCCTGCAGTTCTTCGCCCACTTCTCCTCCCTCATCTACACGGCCTTCATCCTGGGCAGGTGAGGCCCGGCCCGGAGGAGACCCAGCCCAGGCCGGCCCTAGGACAGCGGGCTGGGCGGGCTGCGGCCGGTCACATCTGAGCGCCCCGGAGCGCAGCCCCGTGCCCACGCGGCCCTCGCCTGCTGGTGGGCAGAGTGAACCCTCGGCCCGGTCCGCAGGCACTGCCCTTCGAGGGGAGTAGGCGCCCTCTGTGCCCCGGGCTGCGTCCTTCTCGTGGGGAGCAGAGTCTGGCGAGTGAAGCCTGGCTCTGCCACCTGGGAAGGGAGGCAGCTGCTGGGCTGGTCCCCCGGCCGGCCTGCACTGCCCCTCCGGCTGCGCCCCACTCTGCATCGGGGGCGGGCTCTGGGGCGGGGATGTGGGCACCGTGCGCTCAGGGTCCGCTCCCTCTAGTGCCGAGGGGCTCTGCCGGAAACACCCCTGAGCTGGACGCCCTTTTCCTGGCAGTGGGGGCTCCTAGTTTGGGGCTGGTTGTTTCGGGGGCTGGGGGGGCTGGCTGCTCTGCTCTCTGTGCCCCCAGGGCACTTGGCCTCCGCTGCCAGCCCCACCGGCACCCCGCAGAGGGGCTGGCTCCTCAGTCCTGCTTCTCCCACCCCCTGCCCTCAGTACCGCGCCACCCAGGGTCCACTCTCAGCTTGAGCCCCTCCTCGGCCCGAGCTCTCCCGGGCGCCCAGGTCCAGCTGCCCTGGACTTTCCTGCGGGGATGTCCGTGCACCCGCCTGCGTCCACAGCAAGTCCCTGCGCTCCACCCTCCCCGGCATCCTCTGTCCTCTGTCTCTAAGGCCCTTGCTGCCCAAGGCCAGGGCACCCTCATCCGTGCCCAAGGCGCTGGTCCCTGGTGAGTTCAGCTCAGGCCTGAGCCCAGTGCCTGCCTCAGCGGGGCCTGGGCTGTCGCCAGCTGCCCGTGGCTTTGGTCACTGTGATAACCTCGCCCAGCGCCTCCTCTGCAGCTGTTGTATTTGGACACGGGAAGTCCTGGACTGACCGTTTGGTGTCTTTGCCTTTTTCTGCCCGTTTTTTTTTTTTTTTGAAGATTTATTTATTTGCACATACAGAACTGGGGCACAGGCCAGAGGCTCAGGGGCAGCGAGAGGCTTCACCAGAGACAGAGTGGGGAGCAGAACAGGCAGATCGACGAAATACACTGCTGAGGGGAGCAGCGGGCGGGTCAGGAGAGGTCTGCCACGCCCTGTGGTCACCTCCGGGGCAGGCGGGAATCGAACTGATACTGAAGTGGCTTCAGCTTCTTAGTGCAGTGCTTTAACCCGCTGCGCCACCAGGGAGGGCCTTTCTGCCCATTTTTGTGTTGACCTCCAGCCAACACTGAGGTGCTTCCTGGGCGCCTCCTTGTCTGGGGAGGATGTTGCTGTCTCCCAGGCTCCTCTTTGGCCTCTGGCTTTGAGCTTAGAGACTCCTCACGTCTGGGTGTGGCCACTGTCTGTCCTGCAGAAACGTGCGGGCAGCACTCTGCTATGGGCCGTGGGTCCCATGGGCCTCTGGCTCTCTGTCCCTGGCCCCTGGCTGGAGGTGTGCTGGGGCCAGGCCTGGCTGGGGCTCGGTGCGAGCGTCTGGCCGCTCGCCCCGGGAGTGGGCCCCCGTCACCCCGGGGGGCAGGGCTTGGGCGTGAGGCCCAGGAGCGACCCGCTGCGCAGTCTGGGGCTGTCCAGGTGCCGGGCAGGGCGGGGGGGCTGCGCAGACATCGGCCCTGCAGGCCCCGGCCCGGCAGGTGTCCCGAGCTGGCCTCAGCCTCCCTGACGCCCGTGCGCCCTGGAGGTGAAGCCGGGCAGCGGTGTGGCAGCCCTCTGTGTGTCGCAGGCACAGTGAGGCCCAGGAGGCGCTGCCCCCGTGACCGCCGAGCCTCCCCCGGCGGACGGCAGAGGCCTCTGCTTTTAAAGTGCCTGGAGGCTCTCAGCGCGTCCCGCCTGTCTCCAGGCCACCGCATGTCTCCTATGAGCTGAGAGCTTATTTCATCTTCTGAGTGTACCCAGCTGGTCACCAGGCCAAGGCCAAGTGGTTCTGTTTTCTTTGAATTTATTCGTTTCTTAAAATCACGACATACTTTCTCGCTTCATCTTTGGAAATGTATTTACTGGACGGCTCTTTCTCCCTGCAGCTCTGAGTCGCCTCTGTTTCCCTTGCGTGCGGTGACCGTATCAGGCCGACCCTGCGCTGTGCACACTGCCTGCCGCGGGGGGCGACTGTGGGGGCCCCTCGGGAGCGCCTGTTCCCCCAAGCGGCTGCTCCCAGCTGCGGCCCCTGGTGGGGCCCACGTGTCCTGACTCCCGCGCGATCTTCTGCCCGTTTTTGCTTTCATTCGGCTAAGAGCGCGTCTGAAGAGGCACAACAGGACGTGGAAATAAACCATTGTAAAAGTGTTTAAGAAAAGCACCCCTGCGAGCTAATTCCGCGCTCCTGCCGCCCAGAGACCCCATCCTACTTGCGCCCGCGCTGACAGTTTCCGCTCTCCCTTCTCGGGCGTCCTGGTCACCACGCTGTTGTCTGTGGGCAGGCCAGACGGCCAGCGTGTGGAAAGCCTTATTGTGCTCCTTCCCCTCGCCCAGTTTTTCCCTCCAGGAGCTTAGGGTCTTCTCTTGAAGCGGGACCGCCTGGGCGGGGCCTCGGTGTGCTGCCCAGTGCCGGCCGGGCCGTGTGGCTCACTGAGCTTTCCTCTTTTAAAACTTCGGTTCTCAGACTAACGCCCCTCCCTGTTCTGCCTCTGTGGCCTCTGGCCCTCTCCGGTTCTCACCATTTTCCGGTACATCCCGGCGCTGGGCCCGGGGCTCAGATGGAGCATTTGGGGTGGTTTCCTTCACTTTGTGCTTTGCTTTTCTGTTGATGTCAAGTTCACAGCGACTTGCTTTCCCACCCTTTTTTCTTCCAGGCTCCTTTCCTTGTTTCCTTGTTTCACTGAAAAGTGAGACACCAGTGTTCTCCCCAGAGCTCCCGCCGCTCCCTAATCCTCTCACTCCCCGGAAGCTCACCTTCCTCCCGGCCTTCCGCTTTGAGGCTGGGAGCCTCGCTGGCCACCCACCGCTCTGCAGGGGCCGTGCCACAGCCCACCCGCAGGTGCCGCACACACACACACACACACACCCGCGTCCACACAGCAGCTCCCTGGGCGCAAGCCCAGAGGCGAGGAGCCCCCAGAGAGCCACAGTGAGCGCAGGGCGGACAGGCCAGACGCCCACCCCGGGCGAGGCCCTGCCCGCAGTCCCTTACTGCCGCTGCGGAGGGGCGCCCGTCCTGCCGGCACCATGCTCGGCCCTGGGGCTGCTCCCCAGGGACAGGTCTCGCTGAGGCCCCCCACGGCGTCAGGGCCGGCGCCAGCCCCCGGAGCCTGGGGACCCGCGGCCCGGCGGGCCGCAGGAGCCGGCTTCTCAGTCTTCCTCTCTTTGATTTATGTTTCCGTTGCGGAGTTAGCCCAGTAGCTGCCGGGGACAGTGCGTAGTGGGGCGTTTCTAGGGTTCCACGCTGGAGCTGCCCCCCCCCCCCCCCCCCCGCCGGCCCCGCAGGCAGCCCTCCCAGGCCGCCCCGTGGGGAAAGCGGCCGAGGCCCACAGCCTGCGAGCGCCGGCTCTGCCTCCGGCTGCTGGAGGGTGTGCACGCCCGGGCCTGCCCGGTGGGCGGGGTGGTGCGCCGGGCCCCCAGGCCTGCTTACCCGCAGGGGGCGTCCGGGGGGCCTGCTTCTTTCCCCACGCGGCCACCCACGGCCTCCCTGTCCTCCTCAGGATCAATGGCCACCCTGGGAACTCCGTGCGCCTGGCGGGGCTGTGGAAGCTGGAGGAGGTCAGTCTGC